TCCCCGATCCTGCCGGACAGCTTAATTTGGTGAAGTCCGCCGGTGCTGGTCCGCCCCCGCAAACGACGGCCCTCTCCATCCCAGCGCAACGGCACCGCCACGTCCCCTGCGGCAGAAATGCCTTGTCGCTCCACGTCGCCGCCACGGCGCCCTCGCGGTCCTCGCGCCGCAGCGCCTCAATGTGCTCGTCCCACCGCCTCTGCGTGAAAAAGTAAGCTGGCGCCACCGTCTCGAGTCCGTACCGCGCCGCCAGCGTCGCCGTCAGCTCGTCGCCGTGCAGGTGTCCGTGGCCCTGGGCAGAGGGCACGTCGGGGCGCCCGGCGGCGACCTCGAGGTCGTCCTCGCCGTTCTCGAGGACGGCGCGCGCCAGGAGGATGGGGTTGCGCACGCGGCGCACGCCCGACACGCCGACGGCGCGCTTCTTGTGTCCGCGCGAGACCATGACTGAGGCCTCCAGCTCGTTGGTGCCGTCGCGCGTGAAGACGGCACCGTGGCCGCTGTTGTAGAGTGGGTCATTCTCCAGGAGGCTAACGGCGTGAGTCGCCGTCTGGAGAGCGCTGGGGAGCCGGCCCGTGGAGAGCCGGGTCGTCATGTAGGCGTTTGTTTTCGCGAGCTGTAGGTTTCGTCAAACAGGGAATTTATCACAGGGAGTCATATGGGAACTGACGATGGTGAGGAGTGATCTCCGGTAACCCTCCCAGTCCTTCGGTGGGAGATAGGCGTGTGTAATGTTCCCCGCGCCACCGTGGATGATGAGCCGCGGCTTGACCTTCAGGGTCTCAGACGGCTGCAACTTGTATTCCATGACGACGGCAGGTCCTAAAATATGTTTAGTCTCTATTTGGAGAAATGGTGAAATGCCTTTGTCGTGTTATGCCTCGACGAGGCTTTGAAGACTACATCGTGTGCCTGAGATAAGATAAGATATGACCTCCAAGAATGGTCAAGATCGACGTCTCTCCCTGTTTGCCTTCTCAACAGCCAGGCCGGCACTCGGGAGCAAGTAACAAGATAGATAACCCGGGTATCAAATATTGATCTATCATATTCTGAGTTGAACATTCAGCCCTATTTATTGTCCCTAACGCCATGTTTTACAATCATGCTTTTTTCTTTACCTCCTTTTGCCAAGCTACAGCCTGGCAAATACCATTCCGAAAATCTCCCGGCTTTTCAGCAGATTCAATACTCGCAGCCGCTCATTGTCAAGATGCGCCGAATCGGTCGCCTGTCCGCATGGCAAATGTGCCGCTGGTGCTCCGAATTCCTTCTCCAGGAATCGGATAGCAGGAATGGAGCCACCCTCGCGAATATACAGAGGCTTCTTCGGCCTCGACACACGGACCTCCTTGGCACCATCAGGTGTAGCTTCCTCGATGTCGTCAACCTCTTCGGAAGACTCGTCCTCACTCGACTCCTCGGCACCGTTTTGTGGCGCAAAAGCCGGAGCCCAGGCCTTCATGACGGCCTCCTCGAGCGTGCGGAAGATGACATTGTTCGGGTTACCGAGCCAGGGCTCTGCCTTGTTGTCGATCTTGACGGTCATTTTGTTTTCCGAGTTGAGCGTCGCAAACCCAGCCTCCAGAAACGCAGTCAATGATGTAATGACATCGTCCACCTCTTGTCCCGGTACGAGCCGTAAGCTGATATTGGCACTGGCGTGGCTACTGACGAGACTGCCGTCGGGTCCAGATACCTTGTAGCGGTGGATGGTGAGGTTGGGCTCTCGCCACCTTGCCATGAGCGCTTGTTTGAGTTTCGCTTCAGGCCCGCGCTCAGGTTTACGCTTCATAAGTAGCGATGCGATCTCATCGTATCGCGTCTCCTCCACTGGCGTGACTGGAAGAATATTGTCGTAGAATCCGGGGACCATGACGCGGTTGCCAGCTCCCTTGAGCTTGGACAATGTTGAGGTCAGGTCTGACAAGGGCTCGTCGTTCATGTATGAACCGTCCACACCAGAGTGCAGATCAGGCAACGGGGACTCGACGCAGACCGTTGCGTGGAGCACACCACGCAGACCGTACGTCAGGCAAGGAACCTCGTCGTCGAGCCAGTAGCTGTTGGCAAGGAGGATGTAGTCAACCTTGCCAATGAGCTCCTTGTATTCGCGGACCGTCTCCTTGAACCCTCTGGATGCGGACTCCTCCTCGCCTTCGATGAGAAAGACGACATCGTTCTCCAGCTTCTTTGCCTGCAGTAGGTCTGTCACTGCGTAGAGCGCCGCAATGATGGGGCCCTTGTTATCGCTGACACCTCGGCCGTAGAGGTAACCATTGATGCCCTTCATCTGGAAGGGATCGGTATTCCACTTACTCTTTTTCGCATCAGCAGTGACGACATCGTAGTGTCCGTAGAACAAGATGCGCTTCTTCTTGGACGATTCTTGTGTGCCGTTGAACTGCGCAAGCACGACGGGGTTATGGGGGTTGCTGTCGCAGCTCAACATGTCGACCTGACCACCAAGGCGCTTGAACAGCGAGCCAAGGAATGTAGCGCCGCGGTGGCAGTCCTCGGCAAACTCGGGACGCGAGGAAATGGTCTTGTACGAGACGAATTCTTGCAACGCTGACAGCATGACATCCTCCGACTCTTCCGCCGACGGAATGTCGGTGGCGCACTTCTTATCGATCCTCCAAATAGCGACATCATTATCGTTGGCACCCGTGATATAGTACTGCTTGCCGTTGTACGTCGTGGCGGCCGAGGCGAGAATCTTGCCCTCGTGTGCTTTCCAGCGTGCGAGGCACTGGTACTTTTGGCTGACGTTCTCGACCTGCGACTCCTGAAACTCGCCATAGTGAACGGTACTGTGTTTCTGCGAGTTTGTCAGCTGCTGGGGAATGAGAATTGTGAAGGATTATGCGAGAGCACTTACACTGGCAGTGCCCGTCACAGAGGCGCTCCACAGGTACCCCCAGTTCATGTGCAGGGACATGACGTCGCCTCTATGACTCTTGATGACACGCAACTTGGACTTGGTGTCGAGATCCCACAGCTCAATGATGCCTTGCAGCTTGCCGGCGTACAGGAAGGAGCCGTCAATGGCAAGGGACATGACAGACTCGCCCTCGTCCGTGCCGAGGACCATAATCTCTTCGAGACCAGCCTCGCCGTCGTCGGGATCTTCCGTGTCACTTCCGTCTCCGGCACCAATCTTCCACACCTTGATTGTGCCATCGCCTCCGCCTGATATGAGGACCTCCTCGTCGGCATCCACCAACATGGTAGGTCCTTTGACAAGGAGCATGCAGTATACGTAGCCGTAGTGGGCGAACATGTGAACAGCGCCGGAGGGAACCTCGACGACTTTTTCCGATTTGGGTATCAGCGTCCAGCGGTCATCGTTGCGACGGGGTGTCGAGGTGCCACCGACTGCTCGCGAGTCGAAGAAGCGGTGATTCCTGCGATCTGGGTGGGTGGCAGACTCGTGCATGGCGCGGTTCCTGGGGTCCTTAAGGTTGACCCACTGGATGGAGGTATTCTGTGCGCCGATGTAGAGGGTCTCGTTATGTGTGCTGTAGGCGACGGAGAAGATGTCGCCAACATCGTAGGTGCTATAGATCTCGAACAGGCGCTTCAGGGAGGCGGGGCACCAGGCGTTGATGATGGGGTCGCCGGCGCTGGAGAAGAGCATGGAACCATCGTCGGAGAGGAAGAGGGAAAGGACGCTGCGCTTGTGTGCTTGAATCTTGTGGACCTGCTGAAAGGTGGCAAGAGACCAGACGACAATCTCGCCATCCTGAGTGCCGGCGTATATAGACTCGGTTCGTTCGCAGACGGCGAGGCAGAGCACGGAGCTATCGTGTCGCAGATTGTGGAGGAGATCGGGCGCCAGCTGAGGGCAGTCGTCTGGGTCGGTGCCGAAGCTGGTAGACAGATCGGAAGCAACAAGTGCAGATGGCATGTCGGGCGCTGCGGCGAGAGAGAGCGGTCTCTTGTCAGCACAACGAATTCGCAACTTCTCTGTTGCTGTCTATCTGGGGAGATGATCTGAGAATAGGCCTGTGACTCGGATGGTGCAGGAGACGACTGGCCGACGGCGAGGAACGCGATGTGGGTATTGATAGAGTCGGAGCTGGAATGACGGAATGGGGGTCCTGGATCCACTTGAGGGGCATAGGTGGTTGTGGTGATGGTATGACTCCTTGGGAAGACAGGGGACGGGGGAGAGGGAAATGGTTCGACAGAATGGCCGTTGGAGGACTTGGATGAGTGAAGCAAGAGAACAACTTTCGTGCAACGACGGCGCTCGTTGTATAGGTATGTTAAGGTAGGTAGGGTACGGTGCAACGAAATTGAGGGTATCGCGTGGGCAGCCTCTCTTTCGGGGCATTTGCACTTGCCCAGCACTTGCCCAGCCCGAAATCGCAGGTCACCACCACCTACCAACCTGAGATGAGGAAGCTACTACCAAAGGGGAGGCGAGGTCGGGCACCTAAGGTTGGTAGCGGCTTCCTGGGGAAGTGGATCGCGCCTGCTGTGCCCCAGGTTTCAGCAGCGCGCCAACACGCTGGAAGGACCACCTTTCAAGGCTGTTTCCCACGGCTGTTCCCACGGCGGCTACCACTTGGTCCCGCCATATACCGAAATCGAGGTTGAGTAAGAGTGAGGAGCGAAGGAAAGGAGGGAGGGAAGGACCTTACAATGAGACGAAACCATCTTACCGGACTTTAAACTGGCCTCGTCAAGATCCAGCCCGACGCCCTCATCCTCCGATAGTCGTCTTGCCTGTTCTTTTTGCTTCTCCTCCATTTCAATTTTCCTGCAACCCTGGCAATTCTCGTCAATGCTGCCGTGGTTGCTACCGCCGCCGCTACTGCTGATTATGCTGCTGCCGCCAATGCTAACCCTCGATCCGACCAGAGGGTCGATAACCGAGTCCGCCGGCTTGGTCTTCGCGATATCGACGGGCGACATGCCCAACTCGGTGCCCTGTCTTCGTCAGTCAATCTGCTATGTCGGCGGTCTCGCCCTTCTTCTCGTCGGTCGCTTTGCCCGCTACCAGCTATAGCGTCTTTCTTCGCTCCCAGTGGGGGGGAGAAATGGAGGTAGCCTACCTCAACCATCTTTATATCTGGCCTGCCCATGACGCGACATTCCACGCAATGGCATCAGCTGAGATAAGGGATGGCACGGATCACGGTTCGATCAGTCTCAAAAAGGGGCCAAATACAAGCAAGCAGCGCTGGAGTCTGGCAATGGCGACAGCGACAGCAACAATAAAAACAGACAACAGCCAGCGAACACCAGCGACAGGCCTCTCGGTCTGGCACAGGCATGCCTCCTTTTTGTTTGACCGCTGCCGAACCGGGTCACGCTCCACGTCTTCCGACCTTGCTTCTCCTATCCACACTCTATCGACCTGGGCGACTATCGACAGCCAATCTGCGCCCTCGTCATTGCGTCTTCGCTCCCGTGTCCCCCTGGCACTTCTGGCTGTTTGGCTGGCCACCCGCTCTTCCGGGCCCTCCCCTTGAGACAAGTGTCGACAGGCGGAGCATGCTGGCGAGCTGCACTTCGTCCAACGACGTCCCGTTGCGTGACTTCACACCGCAACATGCTCCTCGCTGAGCCCCCTCTTCCCTCCCCTAATCCACTTACACCACACCACACCCCAGCCCCTAGTCAGCTTCCGAAAGATAGCCACGAGGAAAGGGGACGAGTCGGTCAATGCAGCAGATCCTCTCCTATCTGCCACCAAAGAGGCCAATGTATCCAGCTCGCTTGCGACCTCCCACTGTGTGTGGTCTTGCCGCCCGCCCTGCGTTCTCCTGACCCGGCTACCTGCATCTATGGTGGCTGTGGCTTCCACCATGTCCGACCGTGGTACACAAACAAGATTGACTCACAGCAACATGGGCGGCGACACTCCGTCGGGCTGCATGTCTCATAGCTGTTCACATGTGTCTGCCGTATCGCATCCGCGGCCCCTGTCTGAGTCGACTGCATCCACCTACGTGAGTGAGGGAGAAACCGGTCTCGCTGCCATGAACGATGACGGGACACGGAGAAATCATCGGAGCATAGGTTCAAGAGGCCCAAGTACGCGTTGCGCAGATCCGCGTCTTCCATGAGCTTTTTTAGAACTGACTGGTGTACTATCAATACAACGTCGTCTCAAGTTACGTTGACACACTTTGCGATTTTAGAGGAGCCGATCAGACGAAATTCTCCGTTGACCGAGCATTGGGGGCTCCATAGCGACATCGAAGCACCCGTTCATGCCCTGAAGTTTGCCTGCCAGGACTTCGTAACGGGCATCAACTTGAGAAGATATTAAACGCTCGCAGATTGCTAAACACTGCACCATGCTTCCGAGGCTGCATCACCACGCACGTGACCGTTCACGCACCAGGCTGCGGCGACGTGTCCAAGGCGACACTGCCCGCACATAAGCTTGCACACGGTTGTGTGAAGTCACGGAATGGCTTCTGTATGAGGCTACATGCGCCATCTCTTTATAGTCACGTAAAAACACATACACGAAAGTTCATCCGGCGTCAAGTCCGAACACAAAGAAGTGCGACGCAATGGCTACCACTCTGACCAAAGCTACTGTTGTTCAAGCACCTGATCGTCCAGCATCGACGGGTACCAACAAATCAATCTTCCTCGCCGGCACAACCCACAAGGACGCGGGTGATTGGCGCGCCACCTTGTGCAACGCCATCGAGCACCATCCCGTTACCATATTTAACCCCCTTCGACTGGACTGGGACTGGAGCAATGATATGTCTGACAGCCGCTTCAGCGAACAAGTCACTTGGGAATTGGATATGCAGGAGGCGGCCGATCTGGTGGTGGTGCTTTTCCACCACAGCACCGCCGCGCCGATCAGCCTTCTAGAGTTTGGGCTGGCGGCTCGCTCCGGCAAGGTAATTGCTGCATGTCTCGAGAGCGAGAGCAAGAGGTATGAGAACAAGGGCAACGTCCAGGCCGTCTGTGCTCGGTTCCAGATCCAGTTACTGGAAACCCAGGAAGACTTGCACGCCGCAGTGGTGGAATTCCTCGCGGAATGATACAATCCGAAACGCACTGACAGGGTATTTTGGTTCGAAAACCGCTCGTACAGTAGAAATTGAAAGTATACAACATTTTTAATAGTGTCCATCGATCGCCATTGTTCCTGTTTTCGTGATGAGGAATTCATTGATGGCCACATCCTTGCCACTCTCCTTCCCGTAGCCGCTATCCTTGATGCCTCCGAACGGCGCCTCGGCAGCTGAGCTGTTGCCTGTGTTCTGTGAAGATAAAATGGCGTCAGTTGGTCCGCGGTCACAGTCTAGTACTCAAACATAGCATAAGGGACTCACCAATCCGACCATGCCCGCCTCCAGATTTTCGAACATCCTCCACAGCCTGTCGACATTCTTCGAGAAGACATAGCTAGCCAGACCGAGGGGTGTGTGATTGGCCCTCTGTGTCACCTCGTCCTCGCTCTCGAATCGGTACACGCCCAAGATTGGTGCAAAAATTTCCTCATGGCTCATGGCCATGTCGTCAGTCATGTCGGTGAGGACCGTCGGTGCCATGAAGTAGCCGCTGCCGTCCATCCGCTGTCCCGTCCCCAAGACAGTCCTGGCTCCCTTGGCAACGGCGTCCCGATACAGCTCCTCGGCCTTGTCGAGACTGCGGGGTGTCGTGAGCGCGCCCATGGTGACACCATCGCCCATACCGTGGCCGACCTTGAGAGCCTTGGTCTGCTCGACGAGCTTGGCCACAAAGACATCGTATATGCCGCTTTGCACGTAGACGCGGTTGGATGTGACGCAGGCCTGGCCGGCGTGCCGCCACTTCAACGCCATCAGCTGGCCCAGTGCCTGCTCGACATGCGCATCGTCAAAGACGACGAACGGGCAGTTTCCGCCGAGCTCCAGCGTCGTCTTCTTCAGGTTCCGCGCGCACAGCCCCGCGATCAGCTTGCCGACGTGGGTGCTCCCCGTGAAGCTGACCTTTTTAACGTGCGGGTGCAGGCACAGCGCCTCGGCCACGGCCGGCGTGTTCTCGAGGCTCGTCGTCAGCACGTTGAGGGCGCCCGGCGGGAAGCCGGCCCTCGTGGCGAGGTAGGCCAGGCTGACGGCCGACAGGGGCGTCTCGGGCGACGTCTTGACGACCATGGTGCAGCCGGCGGCGAGGGCGGCGGCGGCCTTGCGCAGGGCGGAGGGCGACGGGGAAGTTCCAGGGGGACCAGGGCGGCGGCGACGCCAATGGGCTGCTTGACAACGACAGCGCGCCGGCCGGGGATGGCGGACGTCAGGGCCGAGCCGTGGGCGCGGTCGGCCTCGCCGACGAACCACCAGGAAAAGGTCGTCGCGTAGTCAATCTCGCCGAGGGCTTCGGCCATGGGCTTGCCCGTCTCGTGCACGACGATGCGCGCCAGATCCTCGCGCGCCGCGACGATGAGCTGGTGCCAGGCGAGCAGGAGTTGCGCTCGCTGTCGCGGCGTGTACTTTGAGTAGGACTGGAACGCCGCATAGCTGGATTGGACTGCGGGCTCAACGTCGTCTTCTTCGTTGTCGGGGCACGAGGCCCAGGCGTTGCCGTTGCCGGGATCGAGGACATCAAAGGTCTTGCCTTTCTTTGCGGCAACGAACTCGCCATGGACGTAGGAACTGAACTGCAGGAGGTTCTTATCGTCAAGCGTAAAGGGAAGCTCGCCATGAGCCGTTGTGTTGTACGAGGTCGCCATAGTTAATTAGCGATGGCGGGGTACTAGGATGCAAGAGAGACGCTGATGCTGGGTAAAGAGGCGACAGGAGACTGATAAAGAAACTGTTGATGTTCCAAAAAAAGAAAAAAAATTGTTGGTGCAGAACACCGATGATCGGGCAGACAATAGTCTGCTTTCCTCATTAGGTATATCTTACCACTCCTACCTGCCTAGGTAGTTTACGACGTCCCAACCTCGTCTCAGTCTGATCATGAGCTTCACGTCGCCCCGCACCGCAGCTCGGCAAGTTGGGGTAGCTCGCCAGGGCGCCTGCTATCCCACTGGTGCTTCCCACCAACGAGCGGGGTATGACACCCGAGTGAGTGGCACGCTCCGGAGGGGTCTGCGCTCACCATAGTGACGTGACCTCGAGGCCTGTTGTCGACTGGTTGCTCTTTGGTGCTTGGCGCCCCAAGCATCACTGCCATAGAGCGCGCAATCCCGCCTGTCAACGAGGACTGGCGCTGGTAGCTCGATGGCTACGCACGCCAGGTGCTTCTCAAAAGGACGCTGGCCGGGTATTGAAGCATGGTGTTGTTGAATCTATATCCATCAACGTCAAGTCTCTTTTTAAGATTGCTTGTGGCTCGGTGCGAGTTCCTAGCAGCTTTTGGTTTTCTGGTCAAAGTTGACGTCGTGGCGAGGCGCTGCGAGTGTGAAGGTTACCGATCTCTTAACAAAAGTGCAAGCAAGCCATGATAAACCCATGTATCATGTTTGCTAGTAGGCCGACATGTGCATTTGAATCCTGCAAAGATACTTTGAGACGTATTGAAAACGAGGTGACTTGATACCCGTCCCGGACATTATCGAGCATCTTCCCGAGAGGAACGACATCAAAGTAATCAGCCAACTCTGTCTTCTTCCCGCAGCCTGGAAACTGGCTTGAACTCTTACACCATGTGTGTGATGTAGACACGATTGTATCCCAAGAAATTCGCGATCACCCTCCTTGCAATACACTACACGCCCACCTAGGCCACGGTTGTAATGTCCTCATTGCCCACTCTCGCCTTCTTCTCATCCGCGTGCGTCTCCATGTGGACGACATCGGTCGTCTTGAGGAAGTCGTCCAGCTCCTTCCGCTGGTCATCCGAAACATCGGTGATCCGAACGGCCACGTCGTCGCCGAAACGGGCCGAGATCTCCTCCAGCGAGAGTTTAGCCGTCTCTGGGAAGAAAAGGTACACTACGGGGATGAAAAAGATGCACCAGACAATGATGACAAGGTAATATTTCCACCCGACATTGACAATACCGATTGGTGCCGTCTGGAGCAGGATAATGGTGCTCGTGAATTGACCGAAAAGCGAGAAACCCATGCCGATGGGCCGGATCTCCGTGGGGAAGATCTCGGCGACGTAGAGGTACATGGTGGTGTCACAAAGTGTGCTGAGAAGACGAACTCGCCGTCAGCTTCGTTTCCAGAGCGAGGGCCGAGTTGCAACTTACCCTTGAAACGCAAGATAGAGGAACACAAAGAAGACGCCGGCTGCGTTGCCGGCTTGGTTCGACGTGCCGCTGAACTCTGCAATGCACGCGGCGAAACCGCTGGTCGTAATGAGGCACCCAAAGAGGCCGACGATAAACATCCAGCGACGCGAATTGACCTTATCATGGAGCCATGCGCCGAGAGGGTTGTAGATGACACCGGCAGTGGTGAGCCATAGCGCCGAGAGAAGCAGTGGCATGGATCCCGTCTGACCCAGGTTGGTGTACAGGATGACTGAATAGTTATTCTATGGCATGTCAGTCATGTTAACCTAAAGAAGACACACTGGTACTCGGCTCACAATGATGAGCGGTCCAGCAAACTCTGCACCCCATTGTGTCAGAAAGCCAATGGCCATGCGCTTCCGATAGCTCTTCTTCTTGATCACAGCTGTCCACGGCGTGCAGCCGATGGCCTTGAGCTTAGCCGCGTCCAACACAATCTGCTCGCGTACTTGATAAATCTCCTCCCGGGCGACAATGTCGTGGGGGTCGTCGTCAGACTTGCGGAGGTTCTGTACCACATTCCACGCCTCTTCGATCTTGCCCTTCTGAAGTAACCAGCGCGGCGACTCGGGAATCCAGAAAGACGCGGTCAGCAAGATGAGAGGGGCAAAGCATTGCATACACAGCGGAAACCGCCACGCAAACTCGGGGTTCCGGGCGGTTGCAAAGTAACATGCATATCCGAGCCAGCCCGACAGCATGTACCCAAAGACAAGGAAGATGGGATGGTGGCCGACGAGCCACCCTCGCTTCTCGGGCGGCGAGAGTTCTCCCATGTACATCGGACAAACGGTGACGAGGATGCCGATGCCGATGCCGGCGAGTATACGGCCGGCTTGGAACATGCTGGCAATGTCAGATTGAAGACGAACACAACCACACCAGCGGCGAAAACTCACCCGAGATTCGCTGCACCACCTTGTAAAGCGCCGCCGAGAAGTGAGAAAGCCCCACCAATCTGGATACATCTCTTTCGACCGAGAGTTGTAGCGGCCCACATGATAAAGAGCGTGCCTATGGCTCCGCCAGCGCTGTAGATGCCATTCGCTGTCGCGATGGCGTCGGTGGTTTTGGTTGCATATCCAGGCTCGCCCTGCAGCGGAAGATTGAAGAACTCGTACCAGCCAGGTTGTCCAATAGTGCTTCCTATTACCGAAGAACAATAACCGTAGGTCTGGAGAATAGTTAGTCCTTGTATGATACAACCAAAGTACTCCCATATCTAGGACAATATCTCACAAGGGATCCAAATGCAACTGCAACCGTGACCAGTCGGTTGTACGTTGTGGTGCGCTTAGACTTTGACCGAGATGCCCCCATGATTGTTGATGATTGTGATTTTGAACTCTGGTGAAATTGTGCTTCTCTATCCCTGTGACCTCTTCATTGAGTTATATGAGGAAGTGCCTGAGTAAATGTACATGGTCAACACCATAGGCACGTCCAGGAGGTGGCTTGCGGGGTCCCCACGATGCTGAACTGCCGGCTTCTGGGGCCCCGGATCTTGGGCTGTCTCCACGGACGTACCACTGGGCCGTTGCTTGCCATGCGATTTGTGTGGTTGCTATTCGACCTGAGGCGTGGTGGTGTGATATTGGACAGCTGCCCCGCCGCCACGTCCGGCGCTCTCCTCCCGAGTGGCATTAATCCGCATCGGTATCAGTGCCACGCATGGGCATTTCAATTTTCGATGTCACAAAATCAGAATCAATTAGTCGAAGACCAATGGTACCTACCCTCTAGTGATCAATAGCGTGATTAAAGGCTGGGGACGGGTTCATGTGACCGGGCGCATCGCCGTGTCATGAGGTTGCTCGGAGCGTGCCGCCGCCAACACTGAAGCTTAGTTCATGGCGAAGCTCCCGAGGACAGGCTGGGTCCCCGAGAAACTAAAGCAACATGAAGCTGTTGGGCTCCCGCACATGCGCCGCCATGGAGTACTTGGAGTTGGAGAAAACCGTCAGGAGAGGATGTTGATCAATCTGCCTTCTCTTTTCTTGACTTCATGCACTCCCGACGCCCACCATCCCGGATTTCACGTATCAACCATGGGCTCACTTAAGATAGATCTGTCCCTCCACGATATGGAGTATGATTCTCTACCAGACCCGCGACGAGTCTGGACGGGTGCTCCTGGCTCTCGAGAAGAGGGCCTCGGCCGGCTTGTGCTGCTGACACCAGATGTCGTGGCCAGAGCTGCTAACTGCATCAAGACCGGTCGCCGTGTGGGCATGAATTGGGACATGAACAAACTCGATGTTGCCAACTTCAATCGGGCACCGACGCAACATCATATTGTCTCCCTGCTCGGGGGCGCCGCGTACGATGACGTGTACATCTTCAACCCCCAGCAATCGTCGCAGTGGGATGGGCTCCGTCACTTTTCCGCTCCGTTCCCGACACCGACCGAGCCGGATAGGCGGCTCTTCTATGGCGGCGTGACGTCGAAAGAAATCGAGAACCGGAATAATACGCGAATCGGGCTGCAACACTGGGCACGCGAGGGCATATGCGGAAGGGGCGTTCTGTTGGATTACGTCCGTTACGCTGAACGCCATTCGATCAAGTATAGCACCTTTTCCGACCACGCTATCCCTCTTCATACACTTCAAGCCTGTGCGAAGGAGCAAGGCGTCACGTTTCGCCGCGGAGACTTGCTTTTTGTGCGTATTGGGGTGACGCAGGAATGGGACACTAAGATGATTGCTTCTGACAAGCTCGCCTACGCCTCCAGCCCAAACCCACAGCATGCTGGGATAGAAGGAACCGAGGAAATGCTGAGATGGATCTGGGACGAAGGGTTCGCGGCCGTCGCGGGGGACGCCATCTCTTTTGAGGTTTACCCACCAAAGAAATCTCACTCAAGGGGTGAGGGCGAGGCTGAGGTGCCTGGGGTCTTTCTCCACGAATACCTACTCGCTGGTTGGGGATTGCCCGTTGGAGAGCTCTTCGACCTGGAGGAGCTGAGTAGAATATGCGAAGAGGAGAAGAGGTGGGAGTTCTTTGTGACAGCGGCTCCGCTGAACATGCCTGGGGGTGTGTCTAGCCCTCCAAACTGCATTGCGATTTTTTGAGAGCAGCAAAGATGTTCGTGTCAAAATTTCGCTTCCAGACGTAAAAAAAAACCGTTGATTGAAGTCATTTTTTCAGTGACTCAAAAGCCATTTACCTCGAAAATGTGCAAAATCTTGGTGAACTTATCTGCTAATCCCCAGCACTTGAGCCTCTGCATCATCATCTGCGCGTCCCGACTGATGGCTGGCACACAGTCATCGGCCAGGATGTTGACGACTGAACCCAGGCCGGCTGGGCCGCCATCATCAATCCACTGTAGCGTGATTTGTTGCTGGGCTGGCTGGTGAAGCGGCGCATCAAGGCGCATTGGTGCTTTGTCTCCAGACATCAGCTCGGCACGGGGTCCATAGGATGAATAGGCGAGGATGAAAACATAGCCCATGAAAGTGCGCATGATCTCGCACGGCGCCGATACGAGATACTCGTTGGCAATTGCTATGATTTGCGCAGCATGGTGAACAAGCCTTCGACTCGATCTTCTGTCTTGAGCAAACGAGGATCTCAGTCGCTTCCGCGCAACCTCGATGCCTTTGTGATGCTTGGCACGCTGGGATATAAGACTGCGGACAATGTAAAGTATGACATCCATGACGTCGTTTGCAGCGTAGAGGTGCGAGTAGTGGCAGAGAAGCCCCGTGATACTAAACGCGGGTCAGCTGAGGTCATTGAAGGTTATCAAACAAACCTTACTTGTAGCTAATGAGTTCCGAGGTCGTTGAGACGGTGTCCATCGACTTCAATAACTTCCGTAGTGCACCAAGAAGCGATTGTTTTGACTGTTGGTGTGCACTCAGCAAGGATGTCAGTCCAAAATGCTCGGGCATTGCCACAATTTCGAGTTGCTTCAAGTCCCAAAGCAGACGTCCAATGACCTGGCCGCAGAGTCTCTTGGCCCAGGTGCCGAGGTGGCTGGGAAAGGCATGACCAGCTAAGGCAGCTTTGAGTATCGTGGACAAAGTAGGGCTCAAGCTCCCAGGTCCAAGACGGGACCGTAAGGCAACCCAAGCTTGGGCTGAAGGTGCGTTCCACAGAGACTCAGTACAAGGGAGCATCCTGGGTAGTTCACTTAGGTCTACGGCACCCCGGCGGCTTGTGAGCGTGCAAAGACTGCAGTCATACTCGAAAGAGGCCCATGCTGACCTTCGTTCCTTCTCCCGGCTTACCCAGATGGACCACTCTTGGTCGGCATGCTTGGGGTCGGTCGCCAGAGAGGCTTCGTGACCGACATCTTCGCCAACACTCCATCGACTGCTAAGAAGTCCCATCCCTCTCAGGCTTCCAATGAGTATCCCTCGAGAGCGATCAGCATTTTGATACAGTTGCCGGTTCCCAGAACCGAGGGAATAAATTTGATGCAGACAGAGTGCATTGAGGTACGAGATGTTGCGATAGTAGGTCCCGTCAGAAGCGCCCTGTTGTTTTTTAGTGAAGGATGGAACTGTGTCATGTGAAATGCTAACATACCAGCCAAGTAATCATCGGCAGGCAAATGTCACTGAGTGACCAGGACAACTCTGTGTCCCGCTCTTCGTCGGATAACAAAGCTCCAACACATGCCATCGCGGTCAGTAGCACGGTTGGACACTCTGCCATGTTCCAGGTAGGCCGGTGAAGTATTGGCTGAATATCGTGGAATCGGGCAAAATAAAGATCAAGCAATCTTTGCAAGTCACTGAGGGCTTGGGCTGTATTGGCGTCTTGAACATGTGTCGAGGCGGGCAATTTGCTGTCGGATAGGATTTGAACGAGGCTATCAAGTGCGTTGGTTCTGTCGGAAGATCCGCCCCGGAAACTGCTTTGTAGCACATCTCTCAAGGGGGGTAGCATATATCTGTGTGGTGCGGAATCTTGGGCTTGGTCGAAGGGCCATGGCTGAAGTGCCTGCTGTGGCTCCAAGGGCCGTAGTGTCGGGCTTGGCTGTGCTGTCCTCGTTTGTCCTTGTCTTACTGTCGGAGGCCTGTCCGGATGTTGCGACGACATCCTCCCTGGTGGCGGGAGAGGCTGGGGGGTGTATGTCTGGCGATCAGACCAGCGTTCGACGGCACTAGAGTCGATAATCGGAATTTCCTGCAAAGCTGGGTTTGACTCTGGCATGTCAAAGTCCAGCCAGTCGAATCCGATCATGCGAAAATCAGGCTGCATCAACGCAAGATGGGAAGGCGAGATGCCAGCGCCACCAGGTTCCAGGGCGTTGACGCCGAAGATCGCATCGTCTGCCTCTCCGAATCCTTCCACCGAGCTGACGGCTGGGTCATTATCGAGGTCATCAGCATGGCGCTGGGTACCAAGGTAGGTCGCGGGGAAGAGACTATTGCCCAAAGTTGAGTCAGGAGTTTGGAGGATCTGTGGTGTTTGTGGGATATCGGTGGACTCGAAAGACGGGTCAAATGGTGAAAAGCCGGTGACGCCCGTCGCTTCAGTATGCTCGTTGCTGTCGAGAGCATCCAGTGCCTCGGACTCGAGATCAGACGAACGGGAGTGAGATGCACCGGGAAACTCGCAGATCGCCTGTGCTCCTGTACATGACTGGCAAGGCTGCAAGCGATCGCACTTGAGCTTTTTCGACACACAGCGGTGGCATGATCTCTGGATGGACCGTTTGACGACGAGGTCGACATGGTGAGCGCCGCGCAGGTGGCGGAGGAGGACATCGTTCCGGGAGAATGTTCTGTCACAGTGTGGGCATTTGATCAATGACTTTCGGGACGATGGTAGATGCGTAAGACGATGGCGGTTCAGATGGCTGGGCCGAGAGAACCTCGCGTTGCAGTGAGTGCAGGCCAGTGGCTTCTGGACCAGTGTTAGCAGCGTACGGCGGTGATAGTGTTAGATGCAATTGTAAGCTTACAGAACAACGGTCTGTCGTTTCTATGCCTTCGCCCGCCGCCATGGTGTTGGCTGATTTGCTGTGTTGCGAAAAAGTTGTGCAAACCGCCCCAGGCGCCTCTCCAGCCAGAGGAGAGTTGAAGTCACGACAGTCAGGCCGTCTCCCAAGGCGTACCTGCTCTGATCTGGGGTGTGCTTGCCACTAGAGGACCTGAACAAGGACAACGAGAATGCGGGGATGCGTCGGCGGGGCAAGATTGCAGCTAGGCAGCGCTAGGAACGCCTCAAAGCTCAGGGGAGTCTGCTGTATTACGTACCTGATCCCTAGGTAGGTACCTACAGCTCGGCCCCATGTACCATTTTCGTCCCTCCCACCCATGCTGATACAACACATTTCAGCCCACCCATACTCCCGACGCCTTCATGGTAGCCCGACTCATACACAACGCCCTCCATCAACCTAGCATGCACAGTTAGCCATCATCGTCACCAGCACGCTATCAACAGGACAGAAGACGTACCTCAATATTGACACCCGTGATGAAAGCCGCCTCATCGCTTGCCAGATAGCAACAAGAGTTGGCAATGTCTTCTGGTGTCGACGGCCTTCCCAGCGGGATCGTCGACACGAAGCCCTTGCGGTTCTCCTCGGTATCAGGCTTGCCAATGAACAAATGTGTCATGCCTGTGCTGCCAACAACGGGCGACACGGAGTTGAACCGAATCTGGTTCGGGCCGTATTCGACAGCCATCGTCTTGGTCGCGTTGATGACGGCAGCCTTGGATGCGTTGTACCATGTCAAGCGTGGCCTGGGCCGCGTGCCCGCCGTAGATGCAACCTGGATGAAGCAGCCGGGCCGCTTGTTCTCGAGAAAGTACGGCAACAGCACGTTGGCCGAGTGGTAGACGCCCTTGACATTGACATTCATGACGAGATCAAAGTCCTTCTCCGTCACCTCCTCTGTCGGCTTGTTCGCGTACGTGGCGCCGGCGTTGTTAATGACGAGGTCGAGCTGTCCGAATCTGTCGAGGGCCAACTTCAGGAGCTGCTCCCAATCCGCCGGTTTTGTGACATCGGCGCGCTGAAAAACGGCGCCGAGGTCTTTGGCCACGGCCTGACCTTGCTCCTCTGACAGGTCGGCGATGATGACGTTGGCTCCTTCGGCGACGAACTTGGTGGCAATGCCCTTGCCGAATCCAGAGGCTGCGCCCGTCACGATGGCGGTCTTTCCCTGGAGGCGGCCTGACATTGTGCCTTATGACTGATGATGTGACGGGAAGCGGTGAAAAGGTAGAGGGCGATTAGGCAGTGCAACAATTTCAAGCTGTTATTCGGCGGGTTGTATGTTACGGCGGTGTCTGGCTGCAAGTGGGATGCTCGTCAAGATCTCAACAGGCAATGTCCCAGCTTTTGGCATTCGTTGTCGTCTCACAGGTAACTAACTACCCCTCCTTCGCTTTCCTGTGACCCGTGGCTATCCTGGTAGATTACCTACCGAACTAGGAAAGCAGATCAAGTTACCCCAGAAGTACCCCTCAATGGGTCCTAGCCCCGTGGATACTGGTTTCGTTGTCAGTGGTGGCATCCCTGCTGGGCGATGTGGTGGTACACTCCGATAGTGACGGGATGTGCCACAACCCCCAACCAAACGAGTCCCCAGCAAGCTCAGAAGGGGTCCAGAGTCGTATCAACTCACAAGTCGGCTGCGAGCTACTTGGCTGCTGTCAGAAGCCCGATTTATACCGAGATCGGATCATGCTTACTGCTAAGGTCGCGGCATTCCCGCTGGCTTGACTGGCTGCCATGTATCCTTTGCATTGGCATCATGACTTGAGTAACAGCCTAAACCGCGTCTAGTGAGCCCGAGATCGGACAAGACAACCGAGGACGTCTGATTCTATCAGGAATGCAAAATGTCTGATGTTTGGGAGCTAAAACTTGACTCTCACAATCTCACAATCTAGGCAGTGCTACAAGTCTGCCATCTTGGGATCCATCAGACTCGGCTGTACCATTTTCTCAACTTCCAGCGAACGTCACGATCCTACCACCCTAGCCATGTCTGACACAAAGACGTTTCGCATCCTGGTCCTCCCTGGCGACCATGTCGGCCCTGAGATCATGGCCGAAGCTCTCAAAGTCCTCGACGTTGTGCAGGACGCCCGGCCGAACATTCGATTCGAGCGCACCACAGACATCGTCGGCGGCGCCAGCATTGACAAGCACGGCGTGCCCGTAACACAGTCGGTCCTGGACGCCGCCAAGGCCTCGGACGCAGTCCTCTTTGGAAGCATCGGCGGCCCCGAGTGGGCCGCCGCCACGCCGACGCCAGAATCCGGCCTCCTGCAGCTCAGGCAGCACCTCGACGCATTCGCCAATCTCCGTCCCTGCGAGATCCTGGTGCCCTCCCTCGTGGGCAACTCTCCCATCAAGCCCGAGCTCGTCACGGGCACAAAGTTTATCGTGGTCCGCGAGAACTGCGGCGGTGCCTACTTTGGCGAGAAGCGCGAGGAAGCCGACGTGGCCTCGGATCTCTGGGTCTATTCGCGCCCCGAGGTCGAGCGCCTCGCCCGCGTGAGCGCCGCCGTGGCCCGCATCCTCGGCGACGGCGGCCAGCAGCCGGCCACGGTCTGGAGCGCCGACAAGGCCAACGTGCTCGCCAGCGGCCGTCTCTGGCGCCGCGTCACGTCCGAAATTTTTGCGCGCGAGTTCCCCGACGTTGCGCTGCAGCACCAGCTGGCCGACAGCATGGCCATGCTGATGGTGCGCGACCCGCGTCGCTTCAACGGCGTCATTCACACAGACAACACTTTTGGCGACGTCCTCTCCGACATCTCGGGCGGCATCACAGGCACGCTGGGCGTGCTGCCGAGCGCGAGCATTTCGGGCGTGCCCGGCGAGGGCCGATGCAACGGCATCTATGAGCCAGTTCACGGCAGCGCCCCTGACATCTCGGGCAAGGGACTGGCGAATCCTGTGGCACAGATCCTCAGTCTGGCCATGATGCTGCGGTACTCGTTCCTGCTTGAGGCCGAGGCGTCGGCCATTGAGAAGGCTGTAGTGAAAGTCCTGGATGCGAAGGAAGCTGGCGGCCTCGAGGTCAGGACGGGAGACCTGGGTGGAAAGTCGACATGCAGTCAAGTGGGAGATGCTGTGTGTGATGTTCTGAAAAAATGCTTTGACGAGGAGTAGACTGTCTACAGAAGTCCTGGCGAAGTTGATTTATAGCCAATCCCGCTGAGCATGAAGCCCTTGAAGAGATGGCATAACCATAGGGACAAGTTGGTTATGCATCGGTGAATAATGAACTCTTTCTTTTTGTTTTGCGCTCTTGAAAACACTCATGCTCCTTGTCTCTCTTCTTGCCTTGACATTTTAGGTACCTTGGAGATCAGCGTTTCAGCTTGGAGCGCGGATCATACCCAAGCAGGACAAGGACAAATAGTCGTCACAACAACCACAGCCCAGAGCCTTTCTCTGCCAAACAAAACTCGCTTGATTGAATGATGCATGTACTACCCGAACGCCTACCAAATGCGTTTCGTAACCATTTCATACCGCTGAACGCCGTGATATTCACCCTCGGGTGGTTTATCGGATTTTGCTGGCCGCCCCTTGCCAGCGAGGCCCTCGTCCTTATCGGCATGGATCCATCGCTTCTTTTCATCCGGGATCTCCACATGGCCGTAACCACCCAGCCGCTTTCCCTTTGCGTCGTATGAATCTGGCTCTGCCTGAGCCGTAGCGATGAGATGTTCCTTCTTCTTCATCCTCGCATACCGATCCCTCGAGTAGCGGAGAAGGATCATGCTGAGTAATATCTTAAAAACAAGCAAAACCAAAAATGCGATGAAAAACACGACAAGCATGGTCACCGCAGCGATGACATCGTCGGTTGACCAGGAGAACCAGGAAGCCTTGCCGTTCGATGAACCACTCGCTTGCTGCCCGTACACTGCCCGACCGAGTGCGTCCCGCAGAAGCGAGTCCAGTCGGTCGAGCGCAGCCGTCATGGCAGGCGAAGACGGAGTGGCCGACTCCTCTGAGAGAGACGTCTGTGTTGATCTGATGATGGGCGCTGCAACTCGCGTCGAGACAAACATGTGATATGTTTGAACAGACGCCCTGATGAAGAGGCAAGCCAAGGGCAGCGTAGCAAGCCCAACGCGCCGAGTCAGACTAGGCCTGACAAATGCCTGAACACAGTTAGTCAAAAGGTCATGACACGCAAGCGGCCAGGGGAGAACATACGTTTGTGTAGTAATCTTTGCACAGAATGTCGAGGATTCTACTGTAGAAGGTTGGTCTGATCTTGTTGAACTTGTTGATATACGCATGCTTGATGGTATCAACCAGAATCTCGCTTCCTATGACGATGAGGAATGGTGAGAGGACCTCCCCTGACCACAGCCAGGATGGCAAGACGGTGAAGCTATGGGGTAGAATGAAGGGGCTGTGCTGCGGTTTGGTACTTGGCACCTTTAAGTCACCGCTGAGACCAGCTCCAGGGATGGAGAGACCGCCGACCTCCACAACGTTGCGCATGCCAATGATGAACAACATGAGCCAGAGTTGGAATCTTTCGGTGATGTCTGCGCAAGTCAACTGGAAAAGATTGTCTTTTTCAAAACGCTTGAAGACGGTGCTCTTGACTTCGACGAATTGGTTTGACAAGAGCAAGGTCAACAGAGCGTTGGAGTACGAGTTGACTGCAACGTTGAGCGTGATGACCTGGTAATACAATGCAACGGAATGTATGCAGTTGTAGACGAGAGCGAGAAGGAACAGTCCGAAGGGGAGCAGCAGCTTGGAGCGCCCCGATTTGTTGCGTGAAAGCGCTTCGGTGCTGAGCAAGCATTCAAAGATGTCCTGGCCCAAGGCGGACAGCAGACGGTCGCCAACCTGGATTACCGTTAGCAATCCGACATTGGCTTCAATGTACAGCAACTCACCTCAAGCACATTGTAAATGACGAAGAGCTTGATGGCGTCTTGACCTCGAATCACGTGGTACATTCGGCTCGCATCAAGGTTCATCAGGAAAGTCGAGCTAAAAAGAATGATGGCACCTTGCAGGATATCGGCCTTGTGCATCGACGTCAGACTCGACGGCATCGACTTCGTTCTGCGGTGCCGGAGACTGCCATGCAAATCGTGGTGCTTGGTGGCTATGGGTACGACCAAGGGGGATGACCACTGCCATTAGCCTTGGCATCAACGTTTCAGACGGGATTTCTGGGGACCAGTGTCGGGGCATGTGGTTGTCGGCAGCCGCGACCTTGACCAAATTGTCGTGCGAGCTGGCAGTGCGCTTCAGTCGACTCTGGCTTTGGCTACGACTGAGCGTCCCAGGCGCGGCATCGCACTCATCGCATTGTGCGTGAACGGACGGCCGTCGTCCTCGGGACCACAGTCGACCAAGTCCGCTCCAGACATAATTTGCTATCCATTTGGCTTCCCTAGCCACTACGTAGACCCACCATCGGATCAAGACGCCAACGGCGACGCAAAATCGGATAGGCAAGATTGTGAAATTGTAAAGCCAGGCGTCCAGACAGGCTAGCGTTCCGAAAGAGAGCGTTCTCTCGAGGTAAAACGGAATCAGTAGGACGTTTTTGAGGCGCTCAATCTTGACGGCATTGGACTCGTAGGGAATATCATTCGTATGCGAGTGGTGAATGTACAAGGGGCTCGGGCGTTGCGTTGACAGCTCGAGTTGGAGGTGAGTCGGGATGGACATGGGAGGCAGGGGAATGGAAGGCGGCATTGGTGACGGCATAGCCGGCTCTACCGCCTGCGGTCTTAGATACGTCGCAGGTGTCGTCTTGGGTGTTGAGAAGGCGGCGGTGCTATTCGAGTTAAGGTTCAGCGGCGGAGGGCGGAGAGAGGGGTTCAACGAGTTGCGACGTGGAGGTGAAGTCCGTGACTGGTCATCTTTTCGGTTTCCAGGCGGCGTGGATAAGGTTCTTCCTGTGGTCGGTCGTCGCCATTGTTCGTAGGCACGCGATGTTCGCCCGCTATCAGCAGTCAAGGGACCTATCCTCGCGGTGTCGGGCAACTGATGGGCCGACTGGCGAAGGCCCTTGATCTGCTCGGCCAGGGAGATGAGCGGGGGCCGGCCATGGTCTGCACCGTCGTCCGACACAACGGCGACAGGCAGGGACTCGGGTTCGGTCAAGTGCTGCATGCCTGCAGCAGAAAGACGCCTGACTTGTTCGTGGCCTTGCGGTCTCTTGGAGCCAGACGTGTTTCGAGGCCGGTTGCCGAACCCTTCGGCTTTTGACTCGACTGCCGACACAGGCTCAGACACTGTATGCGACTTTCTGGGCCTTGTAACCTCCAGCGCTGCGCCCGAGGATATCGAGTCGGAGGAGGAGTCTTCGTCGTCCGAACTCCCAGCATGGAAGGCAGGGCTGAGGCTGTCGGGAGTGGGCACAGCTGGGGCAGGGCCGGGACCCCTGGCCCCAGAAGGGAAAGGAACCACGTTTGAGGCTTTCTTCCATTCGGCAGAATGAATAGTAACCTCCTTATCGGCAGGAAATCGACAATTTCCGGGGGCGGGGTAGGCATTTTGGAAGCCGAGTCGACAGCATCCCGGGCTGTTACGCCAAGTTCGCCCTTGCGGTCATGGTGGTGAGCACCATTGGCGGCACCATTGGTGGTAGGGGAATGCGTCCCGCGGCCATTCAACCCCGATCCTTCGCTACTGGCCATCGGCGTCGATTGTAGTCGCCATTCGGGGGGGGGGGGAGGAGGACTGCGACAAAGTCTGGCGGGAGACGAACGAGGCTGTCTGTTGATGTCGAAGAAGGAGCCAATGAAGTTGTGGTCGAGGTGCAAAAAGCAGCGCGCGGTTGGCAGCAAGCACTCTTGCGGAGATGTGATAGCCCTGCGTTGGGCGATGCAGTGTACCTGTGTACCTAGGTAGTGAGTGGCCCAGGCGAGGCCACCCCAAGGCTCGTGGCTGTCGGTGCTACAAACCCGCCACAGGCAAGGTAGGGGCTAGCCCCACATGGATTGACAGCATGACCAGGACTATTGCCGGGCGCATGTCCCACTTGCGTCGAAATTAGTGGGGAGATGGAAGCTGTGCAGTGCTTCTGCTACTACCTACCTTAGGTACCTAGGTACCTAGGTACCTTACCTAACCTACCTACCTAACTTACCTAGGTACCTAGGTAGGTACTGACCTACCATATCCAGGTAGGTACCGACGCTCCAGTACCTGGGAGCCAAGTGATCGCATCGCCAATCTCGAGCCCCTCCTCACGACCACCCACATCCTCCCACCCTAAGACCCCGAACGGCCGAGGTGCCAGCATTCGGGGGCGGGGTTTCGATGCGATGGCGTACCAAATTTGCATCCGAACCATGGCACGCCTGCGCGGAATTTGGCTGACATGACTCTACGCCTTGACAAAGCCAGGTCCCTTCAGCGCGCGGCAGCTAGCTCGGCCAGCTTGGTTCTTAACTCCAGCTTGTCGTTATCACCGACACAGATCGCGACTTGTGCCCGGGAACGGTATCCAAGAACTGTGGGTTTGTGGATTCCACTTGCGGGGACCACCACATTCGCAGACACTGAATTCCCCTCGATATGACGCGATGGCGGCCAGGTCGGCACGACTAGTGACACTGGGACACAGGACCCTGACCCAGTTGTCTCCGAACCTGGCCCAGGGAACCGGAAATATTTAGTAGAAAGGCGTCGACAAGTCCGCCGCCTAGTGTAATTCTCCTAGGCCCCCCCAACTCTTGCGCTTCTTCATTGCTCGCCTTGACGACGACCACTCAAACAGCACTACCACCACAGACACACGCTCACAATGGCTTCCTATCCCCCTGGACAGTGCTGCGCCGCCACCGGCTTCAAGCACGAGTGAGTAGCCTGTCCCCGCCCTTCTCGCCCTTCTCACCCAAGGCCGCAACATACTGACCTGACCGGAATTCAGGGGCACACCTACTGGCGAAGACATCAAGATCAACGCCGGAAAGATCGCAGCTTATGTGGCCAAGCCCGCCGCTGACAAGAACAACGCAGGCGCTGGCATTATCTTGATTCCCGACATCTTTGCCATCTCCAACAATAGCAAGCTCCTCGCAGACCAGTTCGCAGGCGCCGGCTACACCACCTTGATTCCTGACATCTTCAACGGCGACGAGGTCTTTGAGTGGGGCAAGTATGATATCATGAAGTACATTACCGAGGGCGCCGACGCAACAACCCCCATACGCCCGAGTATGTAGACGCTATCGTCGTCGCCGGCATCAGCCCTGAAGAGACTTTGCATCACCAAGATTGGCGGCGTGGGATACTGCTTCGGCGGCAAGGTATGTCAACATCGCGACCCGATTCAGGACTAGGCTGACCATACAGTACGTCGTTCGTCACTACAACAGCGGCATCAACGTTGGCTACACGGCCCACCCCAGCTTCATCGAGGAGAAGGAGCTCGCTGCCATCACTGGGCCTCTTGCCATCTCGGCTGCTGAGACGGACGCCATCTTTCCTGCCGAGAAGCGCCACCAGAGCGAGGTGATTCTGAAGGAGACTGGTCAGCCCTACCAAATCAACCTCTTCTCCGGCGTTGAGCATGGGTTTGCCACCCGCGGCGACATGAGCATCAAGCACCTGCGGTTTGCTAAAGAGCAAGCCTTCCAGCAGGCCGCCGCCTGGTTTGACTACTTCCTCTTGTGAAATGGAGAGAACGTGGCGCATGCCGTGACGACGAAGGCGGAACTTGCGACATGGAGGCGCCCGTCAAGAATATGAAAATTTATACCCCGTTACCCTGCGCAGCATTTGCTACAGTGACTTGGTGATTCGGTGGTGGGCATGTCTACATGTCCCTAGGACCGCTCGGTCTTAACAAAGTCAGCACACCTCTCAGCAACCATGTACGTAGCGGCTACGGTGTGCGCACTCGGCAGCCTTGGGAAGACGCTTGCATCGGCGACGCGCAGATTTCGGAAACCGTGCACCTTGAGGTCCTGTCCAACGACACCACCTTCCTCCTCCTTGGCCATTCGGCACGTCGATGTCGCATGAAGTGTGCTTCTGATTCTTTTCTTGACGAACTTGTCAATCTCAGCATCGGTTGCGTCGCGCCAGCTGCCCTGCGTGGTGCCCGCTCGGACACCAGGCGCGCGGTGCCACACTGCTTCGAAGGGATATCCCGTGGTACGGAAGCGCTCGATGAAGTGCATTGCGAAACGGGTCGCCTTGCGGGTCACGGCCCAGTCGCGGTCGTCAGTGACAAAAGGGTGATACATTTTGGGGTTGGTGAGCGGGTCATCCGACGCAAGCTCGATGTGACCACTTGAGAAAGGCTGTAAGAGGGTGACATAGAGGCTGTAGTAGCCCTTCTGCTTGTCGTAGTCCTCATCCATCGAGTGGCCGCAGAGGATGTACTCAATGTCTGGTATGTTCTCCTGTCGATGTGCGTCCAGCGTGCTGTTCTTTTGGGTATCAAAATGCTTGACTTCCATCGTTTCGTCATCAATGGCTCCCGAACGAATGAATATGCAGTACTGAGTCGTGATCGAGGCGAAGTAGCCTGTCTTGAAAATGACAAACACGAGGAAGGACCAAATGGCGACGAGTGGCCTCAATAGATAGATCCACGAGTCTGAGGGCAACACCTCGAAAGCGACACCAAAGGAAATATGATCCTTCAAATTTGCGCCGACACCCGGCATGTCGCGAATAACGGGTATGTTATGCTTCGCGAGCTGCGGCTTGGGTCCGATTCCGCTGCTCAAATTAGTACGATGAAGCACGATGCGCATCAGACACTTTCTGGCAGGGTGCGTACCTCAGCATAAGCACTTGTGGCGAGAAGAGCGCACCACAGCATACAATGACCTCGCGCCTCGCCTTGACAAAGCATCGTCGAGGGCGTCTCCTTGACTCACCATCGACGACGTAGACACCAGTCACCTCACTTCCGTCCTGATTCACCTCCAGTCTAGTGGCCACGGCACCGCCGCAGATTGTCAAGTGGCCTTGCCTCTTGATGGCGATCTCTTTGGGAGTAGCCAGCTGCGAGAGAGTCGCGTGCTGCTCGTCATCATGATATCACGTCGACATCAACAGCTGTCACTAGATCGTCAAATCACCACCTACTGTACCCAACATCGTTGCAGTCTTGTCAGCTATGCAGTCAGCAGAGTGTTTGTTACGTGATCGCGTCATCGACGTACTAGTCATCAACAGTGAACAATGACTTTTGATGTCGAACCAACAGTGGTCCTGGTCAGGTGGTCAGCACAGGCTCCCCTGGGCATGTTGTTAGTTTGTGCTAGATCAAATTACCATGTTGACCGCGCCCTGGTGCATCACGATGGGTCAGAGATGCATTCTCCATCTTGCGGAAGTATGGCTCGCACTCCTTGAATGACCACTTGTCGTTGCCACATGCTGCCCAGGAGTCATACAAGCCCGGTGTGCCCTTGGTGAGCATAAGCCCATTGATACGTGAGGCGCCGCCGAGGGCACGAGACGTATAAGTGTGAACCTGCGCGCCGTCCCAACGTTCATCCGGCTCCGAGTACAGTACGCTGACCTGGGGACCGTCCTTTTGCAGCCCTTGGCTTAGCAGCGGTATGCTTGACAGCCAGTCGTCCTTGATCTTTCCGCGAGAGAGGACGAGAACAGTCACGGATGGGTCTTCACTGAGGCGAGCCGCAAGGACGCAGGCAGCGGTTCCACCTGCAGAAGAACATCAGTAATATGCCTAGACCAGAAGCGTAAGCAATGGAAAATACCGCCGACGACAATGTAGTCGAACGTCTTGCCATCAACATCTGCCACAGTCTTCTCAGGATATCTGGGCGAAAAAGGCCACACCATCTTGATGCCGTCGGGTATATGCTGATGCACTCGGAATGCACATGCAAGCGTAGAACGGTGTTCATTTGAGAATGGGTGAATGACATTTATGTTCTCTGGTTTCATCCATTTGAGACGAGAGAGGCCGGTCTATCCGAAAGTTAGAATCTAATGATACCTTGGATGGTGTTCGTTCCTAATGGCATCAACAGCCAATCACACCAATCAATGAGCGGAATCAAAACATGCAACCGTGCATACAACATCATCAAGGTCCTTGATATCATCTAACTTGACAAGTGAGTGACCGTCAAGGGGGTTGCTCGAAGAATCCGACCCCCACAAGTGGCCAAGCACTTCCGTGGGCGGGAGGCTCAGCATAACAACGGGGAGAGCCGTTGGCGGGAAGCAAGCCCCCGCGCGCCGCGGTTTCCCCGTTCCCGTCCATCCTCTTCACCCAATCCTTGCTGGGTCCAGATCCTTCCGACTAGGATGCAACTGGTCAAAGTTGCGTCTCCCACCACCCCAAGTTCAGTTAGGCTGTCGACTGTTGCCAAGCTCCATCCCCCAGACATCATGTATTTTTTCCACATTCAATTTATCGATGCCAAGCAACACGCCTTCTGCCTGAGATGACGACGACAAGAAGATGGCCATGTCGCTTACCTGGATCGCGCGGCATGACCTGCCCTAGGATGCCCAGAATGACAGTCACGAGCGGCTGAAGTATGCCTAAGCACCATCCAGAACCAGCCCTACTCGACAGGCGGGCCTCAACCCAATGGCGGATCCATGCACGACCAGGGGACTGGCCCCCCTTCCCCTCAGACGGAGCGGCTGTGCTAGCTGACCATGCTGGTTGTGCTGTGCTGCAGCTCGAATCCCAACCACCCGTCCGCGCACGCTCTGAGCCGCCCCTGGATGCTCCAGCCGCAGCCTCGTTGCCCTTGAGCCGTCTGGGCCCCAGAGCGACTGGCCGTGTGGGCAACAAGTACTCTTTCGGAGCCGCTGCCACCATCGCAGAGAGCTCTTCGACCTTTTGTGATTTCGTCACACGAGATTCCGGACCGGAGGCGGACAACTGGCTGCCTCTGACGACCACCAAGTACGCTTCCAAAATATATATACTCGCTTGCCTACAATCCTGTGTACCTCGAGCCTCGAATCCAGGCACCCGCCGTATCTTCCCCCGACCTTGACGCCCGACGACCTCACACGAAAGCCGGCCCTCAACCTCTACAACCTGACTTCTTGTACCGTCTGGCGACAGAAACAGCACGATGGGAGACAGCAACAGTGAGCTGTACGTGGCGATTGCTGCTCTGCTCATATCTCTAGTAGCCCTGGCTGCTTCGGTTCTGCAAGTCGCCCAGCAGTACTTCGCCTCTGCCACCGGCTACGCCAGCTGCGACGAGAAGGTCATAGGCAAATGGTCAAGCTCTACAATACGAATTCTAAAGCCATACGAGTTTCGCTTCGAGGTCCAGTATCAGGCTCCGGTCATCTTCCTCTGTCGCCTCGACAACAAGAACGGTCCCGTGCCGGACGTCAAAATTATTCCTCTCGTGGGAAGCGACGAAAGCCGTCGAGAGAGTTGCAGTGACATTCAGGAGGACGGTCGCAACACACAAAAGTCCAGCCAAGTACAAAAGGAAAAGTCCAATCGAGTGAAGCAGAAAGAAGCCATACATACCGCAGACAATGAATTGGCTTCCTGGGTTACCTTGCTGGCAGCCTTCCAGCGAATGGAGCATGATTCGAGAGACTGGCAACAGAAGCTCCTCGAGAAGCCACTCCGTCCTCCAACAGGCGATCCGCAGAATGCACTGTTGAAGCCCGAGGAGGTTGAGGAAGTGGAAAAGAAACACACATTGGTCGTTGCCTTGCAGAAGAAGACAAAGAGCTGGGATACGATGCCGGCAGGCGTCAAGAAGCCGTATGCAACCACAACTTGGTGTCATATGGTGGAGATGGCTGCGCTGCTCGGGATATACTGGAGCGAATTCGACCGATCACATGACCGCTACCGAGCTGAAGGCAACGGTTACATGTTGACGGGTGAAAAAATGACCGACCTTGGTATCATGTTCACCTTTCAAGTCTATGGGAAGAGCGAATTCAAAGCCAACCGCATCATCCCGGTTGAGGAGGTGAAGGACCTGTGCTTCGGGGTCGTGCCAACGATATTTCGACGACCCGAGGCGGTTGATATGCGACGTCTCACAGATGACCGCCAGGATCTCAGCATGCTCAACTTGTCCAACCGGATTGAGATTTCAGAGACACTGGGCCTTATTGGTTGCAACACCAACACTGTCAACTACTTTGCTCGTGAAGACACGCAGAACAAGCGTGTTGCTCACCTCTTTCCTAGTAAGCAGTTCTCCATCACCGTGTTGCTGACAAGGCACCCTAACCTCATCGCAGTCGCGTTTGAAATCATCGGCATGCTAGGTCGGACTCTTCACATCGATCACAGTGTCTTCCGATGCCTCCCGAACCCTACGATGTATTTTTGGAACACCAAGACATTCTCGCTACCAAAGCTGCTTGATGCTTACCTCAAAGAATCCAACAAGCGCGG